AGTTTCTGCCAAGTAATTAGAGTTTAGTCTTATTGTTTCCCATTTGTAAGTGACCTTTTGTTTTTCTTGAGCTGCTCTCAGGATGTTTTCTTTGCATTTTGTTTTGGCAAATGTGATTATGATATGTCCTGGTGACTTTCTTTTGGGGTCTCTCCTATGTAGGGTTCGTTGAGCATCTTGGATGGTCAGCTTTTCATCTTTCATAATATTTGGTAAGTTTTCTGCCAGCAAATCTTCAGCAGTCTTCTCTGTGTTTTCCATTTCCTCCCCCTGTTCTGGAACTCCAATCATGTGCAAATTTTTGCTGTTGATTGTTTCCACATAATTCTTAAGTTTTCTTTCTTTTTCTTCATTCTTTTCTTTGATGTTTCCTCATACAAAGTGGCATCCATGGATTTGTCTTCAATCTCACTGTCTTCCATTGTTTCAAATTTGCTCCTAAAACCTATTGAATTGTCCATTGAAATTTTGTTGTTTATCTTTTGGATTTCTAGTTGCTGTTTTTGTATGATTTCTAATTATTTATTCTGATGTTTTGTTCTTGTATTATTTTCCTGAATTCTTCTATTGCTCTGTGTTTTCCTTGATTTTGGCTATGTTTTTGTTGGTTTTGTCTGTGTTTTCCTTGATTGCTTCCCTAATCTCTTGGAGAGCCCTAAATATTAGTCTTTTGAATTCCATATCAGGCATTTCCACTATCTTTTCTTCTACTGGAAGGTCAGTGAATTCTTTATTTTGGTCACTTGCTGGAGCCATCTTGTCCTACCTTTTTACATGTTTTGATATTGTCTGCTGTCTCCAAGACATTAAAGTATTATTTTCTTTATTTACTGATTGTATGTTTGTTTGTTTTGTCCCGCTTCTTTATTTTGTTTTGATATGTCAGGGTAAGCCAGGCATGCTTTGCTGCTTGCTTGTCTTTTGGTGCGATAGCTGTCACCACCTTGTCTGGGTGGGCAGGGCAGCAGCAGGCAGGATGACCCTGCTTTGCTGCACTTGTTTGGCGAGGTGGCTGAGGGCAGACTGTGCAGGCACTGTCTGCCTCCTGATGTTGGTCTAGCAGTGTGGGAGTGCTCACAGCCCCTTGCCAGATAGGTGAAGGTGTCAGATGGGGAGAGGTACGGTTTCACTTCCCTCTGTTCAGCAGTTAGTTGAGTAGTGGAGGGGAGGGGCAGCGTAGTCCCAGTGCAGTGGTGGGCCTGAGCTGGGGACATTGTAGCTGTGGCAGCACTGCAAGGGCCAGTGGGAAGGGGGTTGGGGTACAGGGCTAGGTGAGGGGAACAAAGGAAAAAAGTGACAGAAAGAAAAGGAAAAAAATGATGTTACAGGAGCTGTAGAGACTGAGCAGGGTAGACCTGGGATGCTGTGGGCCAGAGCCTCTCTAGCCAAGGTGGTGCAGTGTGGCCCAGTGGAAATAGGTAGAGGTTGGATACAGGGCTAAGTGGGAGCAAGAAAGAAAAGGAGGAAAGGGAAAAAATAAATAAAAAATAAAATGGTGCAGCAAGAGCTGGCAGGTGGTGGTGGGGGGAACCCAGGCTGATGGTGGGCTAGTAGCTCTCTACCTGCGGCAGGCCTGTTGGAAAGGGGTAGAGGTGGTGTATGGGGCTAGGCGTGAGGGAGAAAGAAGAAGAAGAAAAGAAATAAGAAAATTGCGCAGCAAGAGCCAGCAGGTGGGGGCAGGGCACACCCATGCTGGCAGCATACCAGTGTCTCTCTAGCCAAGGCAGTGTGGCATTTTGTGGTGGGAAGGAGTATAGGTGGGGTACAGAGGTAGATGGGAGGGAGAAAGAAAAAAAATAACAAATATTAAAAATAGAAAAAAAAAATGGTGCATCAGTAGTCAGTGGGTGGGAGTGGTGTGGACCCAGGCTGGAATTAGGGCAGTGTCTCTCTAGCCAAGGCAGTGCATTGTGCCCTGTCAGGAATGGGTAGAAGTGGGAGGGAGAAAGAAAAGAAAGAAAGGGGGAGAAAAAAGCAAAAAAAATAATAAAAGGAAAAAATATGTCATGGCAGGAGGCAGCGGAGATGGGCAGGGTAAGCCCAGGCTGGCTCAGGCTTGTGTCTCCCTAGCCAAGGTGTTGCGGCATAGCTCGGTATTTGGAAGGGGTAGAGGTGAGGTATAGGCTAGATGAGGAGAAAGAAAAGGAAGAAAGGGGAAAAAAATGGCATGGAAGGAGCTGGCAGGTAGGGGTGGGGTGGACACGGGCTTGCGACAGGCCTGTAGCTCTCTAGCCGAGGTGGCTCAGTGTGGCCTGTCAGGAGGAGTGGAGGAGGTGTACAGGGCAGAAGGCTGACGGGTGGGGAAGCATGTTTCTCTGGTTATTGGGTGTTCTGTCTCCTGTTGGGAGCTCTGTGAAGTTGCCTTCCTGTACTCCCTGTTTGGGGTCCTCGATGGCTGTCCTCCAAGATGGCAACACTCTTCTGTGTTAGTTGGGAGGGGACGTCCACTCTGTATCTCTCCTCATTCTCTGTTTTCCTTCAGTTTCTTCTTCCATTCAGTGTTAGATCTATTTCTTTATCCCTTCATTTGATGCTTAGACTTTCAGTATTGACATTTGTATCTGTTTAACTTAGTTTTTTGGGTCACTGCTGCAGAAGGATGGCATGATGCATCTGTCTACAGTGCCATGTTAGCTCTGTCTCCAAATTTACCTTTTTAACTCCATATGTATCATTAAATATGATAAATATGGGGTGCAATCTTACCACTTTTCTATCACTCTATTAGTGGAAAATATTTGCATTTTCCTTCTCTGACAGGTTTCTGCCTTACACAGGTTCTGGCTTTTGTAGGTTTTACTGTATCTGAATTTATTTTTGCTTTGTTATAGTGATACAATACTACTTCTACCTCAAAGATAAGGAAGGAAAGATTTGACTTATTACTTTGTTGCTCACTTTTAGTTGAACTGTGACAATTTGGAAATAATGACAAAAACGTAAATGCTCAAAGTAAAACCAGTAGAAATTTCAATGCTTTTATGTTGCTTTGAGTTCATTTATAAAAAACTGCTTTTCAGTTGCATATTTGTGTTAAAAATAACTGTTCTCAGGAAATACTTCCAGTTCATGTTGGAATGTGACTTGCATTTTGAATTTTCAGTAAACTAGGAAATAGACTTGTAAACCCTGAAAAGCTCTGCTTCAGAAGTGAAAACTGTAATTTGATGTTTAATTGTCAGTTTGGAAAATAAGATCATGCATTTATAAAAACTCCAAAAATTTTTAATAAGATTGTTGCTTACCCTTTTTGCAAGTAATATAGGGAAGAGATTTTGAATACATGTGATATAGAACTGCCTTTTTTAAATGAATACCATGAAGTCTTCAACAGTCTGCTATTTATTTGTGTTTTCAATTTATTGAAGAGTTTCATTTCGCTGTCTTGGCATGTCCTTGATAATACTACCAGACAGCATCCAGGTCATGTTACTAACTTATTTAGCTCAACACCAAGCTAAATTGTCTACATCAACAGAGTATAGAGCGTTATGGATTTCTAACTAATTTTTTAAATTAATGTATAGATGTTTTTCAAATTATTGACTTTTGTCCTTAAGCCTGGTTTTGTTTTTAGCTCATCATAATTATAAGCAGTGTAGAAAGTGTACAAAAATACTATAAGGTAAGGAAAAAGAACTTTTGTACCAGAAAGAAATAGTTAAAGCTTTTGGGGTACTGAGCCTGCTGGTACCATGTCAGATAACATAATGCTAGAACATTTCTGAATTGGAACAGGCATGAAAATGGAATTTAAAGTATTTTAAATTAACTCCCCCTGGCCAAAATAATTGTGCTTTATTTTTGACCTACAAATTTGTGAAAACTTGGGTGAAGACTTTCATGCTAAAATTGTATAATAAAAAACCATCTACCTGGAGATGCTCAAACTAGTTTGACGTTAAAGTCATGCAGTAATCATTACAATCATGATTTTATTTGGTTGGACATTGGGAAAAATGGAAGAAGTCTGAGATTTTTACAAAAACAAACCCTAAAACACAGATAATAAAATTTTCATCTCATTTTGTTACCGGGTGGAAACCCCGGGTTCTTACTCAACATGACTGTATTGGCCAATCAGGGAAGTCACCTTTATTTAGTTGTACAAGGAAGTGGAGTGGGTCGGAGCTGCTACTTCCAAGACTGCTTGTCAAGGGTGGGCAGGCAGGTTACTTTTAAAGGGGTTTACAGGTGGGGCGTTCAAACAAGTTATGTCAGTTAACATCTTAATCATACTAAGCAGGCACAATGGGTTTTACATATAACCTCCAAGCAAAAGCAGGATTCAAATGCAAAGCTAAGAGCTAGGCAGGAGGTGGGGTGAGAGGGGTGGGGTGTGTGTTGGGGTGTGGGGGTGGGGGTGTGTCGGGGAGGGGTGGCAGTGTCCAGCAAGGGAAAAAATTTTTCAATACAACACTGTAGGGGAGGAAGCCAGGTAAAGAATACAGCACTGTTGGGCTCTGTCTCAATGCAGCACTGTAACAAGATGGAAGCTTGCTACTGCTCTACTTGTCCTTAAAGTCTTCTCACTTAACTTTTTCTACAGTTACACTTAAGTATTTCTGACAAGTGTAAGCAAAATTCACTTTTAGGACTCTTATTTCAAGGGTATTTTGGAAGTCTCGTATTTCAAGGGTATTTTGGCTGGTCTGTCATAACATCCATGTTAGGAATGAAATATGTAGCGCTAGCCGTACATTGTACTATACATTTTCCGCAACCACATCTCATCACAAGGCTTTGAAGCACACCAAGGATTTGTTCTCATTTTACAAGTGTAGGAACGAAGACTCTGTGAGACTGAGTGCCTCAAACTCAGCTGGCGAGTGACTGCCCCGAAATCCCGACGCTAGGCACCAGGTACAGGTACAACGCATGACGTCACAGGTGGTGCCAGGGAGTGGCTCAGCCAGTTCTGGATGTGGGCCGGGACGGAAGCTATGCAGCAGAAGGCCCCGCCCCACCGATCTCGGCCCCTCCCCTGAGCCTCTCAGGCCCAAGTGTGCGCGGGCGACTAGGCTGCAGAGCAAGGCGCACTGGGCGCCGGTAGGCCCCGCCCTTAGGCCCGGCAGGCCCCACCCCTGTGGCGTGGCTGGGCACGGCCCGAGGCCGCCGCTGCCGGTAAGTGCCACTTCCCGGCATCGGGACACGGTCAGCGACTGGGCAGGGAGGCGGAGGATGGATGTAGGCTTATCGGCCATTACGCTGTATCTCGCCAGCGCCAGCAGCCCTGTAGCGGCGACGACCATGGACCGAGAACCCGTGAGCGGTGTCGAAGGAGGAGAAGCAGACGCAGCCTCGGGAACTGCGGCTGCCTCGGCGTTCAGGGACAAGGCACGGCAGGTAGGTGAGTCCGCCGAGGGAGGCGGTGGCGCCAGGTTGGGGCCGGGGCCGCCGAGCTGCTTCTTTGCCTTGTCGGTGGGTTGTCTTTTTGGCCCGCTGGGTCTTTCTCGGAGCAGGCCACCCTCTGGAGGTGCTTTTCGGGGTTGCTCCTCACATTCCCCCCGTCTCCTCTCAGAGAAACCGGTGAGGGGCAGACACCTCCCCCAGCCGGGGCGTCCCTCACAGCCCCTTCGCTGGCAGCGCCGCAAACTGTGTGGCGGCGTCGGCTTTCCGGGTCAGCCAGCCAAAGGAGGAAAGTGCCTCCGCGAAGGACTGCCCTTAGCCTAGCTGGAAGCCAGGCGACGGTGGCTTCACTCACTTCTCAGCCTCTGCTTGTGCAGACGCCTGACTTGGCATCTGTCCTTTGGTTAGCTAATAGCTACTATTACAGGCTTTATTTCCCTTCATTCTCATAACCACCCCTTGATGTGGGTGGTGATATCCTCATTTCACCAACGAGATAACTAAGGCTTAGAGCTGCACTGTCCGATAGAAATATAATGCGAGGCGCATATGTAATTGTAAGTTTTCTAGTAACCACATTGAAAAAGTGTTTAAAAAAGCGAAATTAATTTTAATATTTTTTATTTAACCCACTATATAAAAATATTTCAACATATAATTAATATAAAAATTATTAATGAGATAGTTTACATTCTCTTTTTGGTACTCTTTGAAATCGTGTGTGCATTTTACAGTTGAAGCTCATCTCAGTTTAAACTAGCCGCATTTCAAGAGGTCATTAGCCATATGTGGCTAGTGATTTCTGTACTGGACAGTGCCACAGGTGTAGAGTTAGGTAAGGTTTAAAGGTTTTTGATTTTGTTTGGGATTTGGTAGTCTAAATTAGTAGTTAAGGATCTTTGGCCAAGTAAAACTAATGAAGAAAATGCTTTAGTTGAAACCAGCTCAAGAGTATACAATTTTGGTGGTTACAAACCTCAAGTCACTCCTGTGTAGAAATCTTCCCACCTCAATGAGAAATGAGCTCCTTTTTTTTTTTGTGACTTAGGTTAAAGTTTACAGAGCAAATTCACTTCTCATTAAACAGTTAATACACAAATTGTTTTGTGACATTGGTTGCCAACCCTGCAATATGTCAGCACTCTCCCCTTCTCCACCACAGGTTCCCTGTTTCCATTCCTCTAGTTCTCCTGTCCCTTCCTGCCTTCTTGCCTTTGCTTTTGGGCTGGTATGCCCATTAGTCTTATATACATGATTGAACTAAGCTCTGTTTTTGAGACTATGTACCTGAATGTTACTAAGACATTTCCTCTGAACTACAGACTCCTATAGAATGATTTCTGTGTTAGTTACCTAGTGCTGTGATAACACAAATACCACAAGTGGATGACTTTAAAGAACAGAAATTTATTTTCTTACAGTTCTGGAGGCTAAAAGTCCAATCAGGGACTTTGCTTTGTTAGCCCTCATGGTTCCTTGGCTTGTAGATGATCATCACATAGCATCTGTCTTCCCCCTGTGTGTGTGTGTTGCTGTGTCTATTCTGGTCCTTTTATAACACAGAAGTAATTGGGTTTAGGATCCATCTTCCACTGGTATGACCTCATTAACATAACAAAAGAAACCCCTATTTCCAAACAGGATCACACGCACAGGTAAGGGGGCCAGGAATTCAACATGTATTTTTTTGTGGGGGACCCAATTCAGTCCATAACAGCCACTGAATGTAAATATGGCTTATACTATAAGGTATAGTTGATTTGGTTCCTGTGTATTCCATCTGGTGAGGTCCACGTGTATAGTTGCTGTTCATGTTGTTGAAAAAAGATATTTCCAGTGAATAGGTTGTTGGTCTTGCAAAATTCTATCATATGATCTCCGGTGTCCTTTCTGTCACCAAGGCCATATTGTCCAACTATTGATCCTTCTTCTTTGTTTCCAGTGTTCACATTCCAATCATAAGTAATTATCAATGCATCTTGATTGCATGTTTGATCAATTTTAGACTGCAGAAGTGGTAAAAATCTTCAATTTATTTTATTGTGCTTTAAAATGAAAGTTTACAGTTCAAGTTAGTTTCTCATACAAAACTTTATACACACAGCGCTATGTGACTGACCCTAGTTGCACTCCGCATACTGTGACAGCACACTCCTCCTTTCCACCCCAGATTTCCCGTGTCCATTCAACCAGCTCCTGTACCTTTCTGCCTTCTCATCTCGCCTCCGGATAGGAGCTGCCCATTTAGACTCATGTACCTATTTGAGCTAAGAAGCACACTCTTAATGAGTATCATTTTATGTCTTATAGTCCAGTCTAATCTTTGTCTGAAGAGTTGGCTTTGGGAATGGTCTTAGTTTTGGGCTAACAGAGAGTCTGGGGCCATGTCTTCCAGGGTCCCTCCAGTCTCAGTCAGACCATTAAGTCTAATCTTTTTACTAGAATTTGAGTTCTGCACCCTACTTTTCTCCTACTCTGTCAGGGACTGTCTGTTGTGTTCCCTGTCAGGGCGGTCATTGGTGGTAGCCAGACACCATCTAGTTCTTCTGGTCTCAGACTGATGGAGTCTCTGGTTTATGTGGCCCTTTTGTCTCCTGGGCTAATACTTTCCCTGTGTCTTTGGTATTCTTCATTCTCCTTTGCTCCAGGTGGGTTAGGACCAATTGATGCATCTTAGATGGCTGCTTGCTAGCTTTTAAGACCCCAGACGCCACTCACCAAAGCTGGATGCAGAAAATTTTCTTAAAAAACTTCGTTATGCCAGTTGACCTAGATGTCCCCTGAAAGCATGGTCCCCAGACCCCAACCCCTGCTACTCTGTCCCTTGAAATGTTTGGTTGTGTTAAGGAAACTTCGTAGCTTTTGGTTTAGTCCAGTTGTGCTGACTTCCTCTGTAGTGTGTGTTGTCTTTCCGTTCACCTAACATAATTCTTGTATACTATCTAGTTAGTGAATACCCTTCTCCCTTACCACCCTCGTAACCATCAAAGAATGTTTTCTTCTGTCTTTAAACCTTTTCTTGAATTCTTATAATAGTGGTCTTACACGATATTTGTCCTGTTGCGCCTGACTAATTTCACTCAGCATAGTGCCTTCCACATTCATCCATGTTATGAGATTTTTCACAGATTCATCGTTATTCTTCATCATTGTGTAGTATTCCATTGTGTGAATATACCATAATTAGATTTTCTATTGATCTGTTGATGGGCACCTAGGTTGTTTCCATCTTTTTGCTATCGTGAACAGTGCTGCAATGAACATGAGTGTGCATATATCTATTCGTGTGACAGCTCTTATTTCTCTAGGATATATTCCAAGGAGTAGGATTGCTGGATCATACGGTGCTTCTATTTCTAGCTTTTTAAGGAAGCATCAAATCCATTTCCAAAGTTGTTGTACCATTCTACATTCCCACCAGCAGTGTATAAGTGTTCCAGTCTCTCCACAGCCTCTCCAACATTTATTATTTTGTGTTTTTTGGATTAATGCTAGCTTTGTTGGGGTAAGATGGTATCTCATTATAGTTTTGATTTGCATTTCTCTTATGGCTAATGATTGTGAGCATTTCCTCATGTATCTGTTAACTGCCTGAATGTCTTCTTTGGTGAAGTGCTTGTTCATATCCTTTGCCTATTTTTTAATTGAGTTATTTGTCTTTTTGTTGTTGAGGTTTTGCAGTATCTTGTAGATTTTAGTGATTAGACGCTGATCGGATTTGTTGTAGCCAAAATTTTTTTCCCAGTCTGTAGGTTGTCTTTTTGCTGTTTTGGTGAAATCTTTTGATGAGCATAAGTGTTTGATTTTTAGGAACTCCCAGTTATCTAGTTTCTGTTTTGGCGTTTGTGCATTGTTACTCATGGTTTGTATTCTGTTTATACCATATATTAGGGCTCCTATTGTTGTCCCTATTTTTTCTTCCATGATCTTTATCGTTTTAGATTTTATATTGAGGTCTTTGATCCATTTTGAGTTAGTTTTTGTGCATGGTGTGAGGTATGGGTCTTGTTTCAGTTTTTTGCAGGTGGATATCCATTTATGCCAGCACCA